GGATTCCCATAGAATCGTGGTCCCCCCTCCCTCTCCCACCACCGTACACCCACTGTCAAACCGCCCTTTGTCCTATCTGTCAAAGTGAATGCAGCTTTGTAGGTTATCAATTGTTATTGTTTTCATCTGGATAACAAGTTACGCAAAAATGTTTGTCAAGGATTTTTTGTAGTTTTGGGAGTAAATTACTAACTTGCACCTTGGATAATAGATGGTATTTAACGTTGAAAATATATGTAGGAAGTAGTGTTAATGATTTCTAGTTAAATTAATTAGAACAAACTGGCATATATCATCAAAACTGTTTTAATTAGTACATTTATTGATTTTTTTCTCTTTTTATGGTACCGTTTGTAAAACATGTAAAAAGAAAAAGTCCTGTAACTCGTAACAAAATTAAATATGTTTTATTGTAAGCAAATACAAGCACTTCTTTGGAATCGCAAATGCATAATCACAAAGTGGGTAGTCAATTCTTAAAAATATAATTATATGTTATAGGCTATTAATTTGTTCATTTCTACCAAAAACACGTTTTTCTGATAAAATCTAAATTTATGGCTATGCTACTAGTTATTATACTGTCCCGATACGGAACGAGCCAGCAGAATCAAATAAGGTGAACATATTATAAATCTGCTACTCACAATAAGTTCTGTATAAAGCCAATAAATGTATATTTGAAATTATAGGTTCTCCATTGCATTTTTATTCTTTTAAATTAGACACAAATAAAAACTTACACACACATCCATGAAAACACTTTAATATCTAAATCCCTAAAACGCTTTTAATTATGTATGCAAATATTCATCTGAGCGAGAAATTTACACAGTATAAACGCAACACGATAAACAGACCTTTCCCTCGAGACGCTAATTTTCCAGTTTTTACAGTCAGCAGGGAGCTTCTTCGCTTTTAAAAGTTCAAAAAACTCTGATATTTCTAAATGCGAGAGGACGTTTTGCTAGCAGTGTCGGAAACAGAAGCTGTCAGAAATGTAAGAGCAGGGTTGTAATGACATAGACAAGGACTCTTACGTCGACCTGAGGACTCTTTGGGTCACGTGGTTTCAAAACAAACCCCGACTTGCGTCTGTGTGGAAAACACTACTCTATTTGCAAGTAAATATGATTTTTACTTTTAATTTTTACTTGTTTGAAAGGTAATGATAGAATTCCGGTTGTGTAATAACATCAGTTTTAATTGTTGTTTTGAGTATTGTAACGAAAGTAATATGACTTAGAACTGATTATAAAACTGATACCTCCTTTTAGGCCAATAGTGTGATTTTGTTTAGGGCTAAAGATCGGCTGTAGCATTTCTTTTACCAAGAAAGTAATGTAGGCTTTGGGTAAAGGTGGTTTCGTGATGTTAAGTACACCAACGATTAAGTTCTACAATACACAGTCGCAATTTATAGCTCGTTAAATTACTTTAAATGTTAGTCGATTATTCTTTTCGGGATGAAACTGAATTAAATTTAGTGGTTATGCTATTTTGGAAGTTATGATTAATTACTTAGAGCACTGTTAAATTATAGCAGAAAACATATTTCAACTGAGGTTTAAAAAGAAAATGGTTATTGTTTGCATTTTATGCTTTGTCAAAGTACATAGCCTGTAGCATTTTTTTAAATTACTTTTTAATATGTGAATATCATCTATCTATTTTCAAAAAGGTCATGAAGTTTGCATAGTTTTGAAGGTACATACAACAATATTCCTTTTAAATGAGAGTCTGGCTATAACCTTACAATATACACACTATTAAATAAACCTTAAGAAGTGTTGTTGTTATTGTCATTATTAATTTGGTTTAGTGAATTATACTAGCGTAATTAATTTTAGTGTGCCCATTTAGTCATAGTAAAGCAACAACAATTATGTTTCCATTGTCTCCAAGAGTGGTGAGATAAACAAATATTATATAGTAATAAATAAAGCTACAAATAGACCTAAACGTCTTCCTAAAATAAACTGAAGCTATGACGATTTGTAACATAATTAACTCTTTACATGATTTGTGAAACTCACTTGCACGAATTAAAACAGATACGAGAATCAACGTAATTAGTAACGTCACAAACAGATCTAAGCATTCAGTAAGCATTTACACGTCGTATTTAAAATAAACCTTCCTGAACCCACTTTGATCAAAACGACTTAACACTATATTATAAGGTACTGAGCTGCGATATTGAATCTTTCTTTGAAAGTCTCTTTTGTAATAACCAGCTTTGAAAGGCGCTCAAGCACATTCATTGCATTAGTCTCTATTGGACTTCTTATTGGATTTCAAGAGATTTTTACAAAGAAAGGAATACAGAACTAGGCGTAAATTTAATACAATTCTAGAATATTGGAAAGAAATAGTTTGATGTTCGTTTTACATGATTAAATACTGAATAGTAAATGGAAATTATTATTTTATACACGTATTTCATAGAATAGGGTTAGGTATAACTGTACTCGATTTAGGCATATAACGTGATTACAACGATCAATATAGATTTTTAATGATTTTTCATGTGTTAAACTTGTAGGGTTTTGTTGATAGTTGTTGGCAAGGTCCAAATTCTGGGTCTTGTTACTGTTAAACGTCGAAGTTTTGTTTAATAACATCATTAATTGGCATTCCAACGACAAACTGCCTACGTCAATGTAAATATTCGCATGAATAATGTTGTAGCCTCAAATATTATGATGGTGTGTTATGAATGATTAAACAAATTTTTATCGACCACGTATCTTGTTTTTTAATGTAAAATAAGTTACATCTTCCATATAAACAAAGTAGTTTTCCCCTTAAAATATTCCACTAGTTAATGTTGTAGGTAGGTAAAAATAATAAATAATGGCTTAAAAATAGGTCAAATTAAATAAACACATGCTATAACCCTTAATAGCCTTCAAAGAATGTTTAACACGAATTCCTTCATACAACTGTTCATTCGGTTGACAAATTACCAAAATGCAAAACAAAATGTTTTAATATTTCTACAGAGGAGCAAAGTAATCGCTGATGAAAATGCGTCACGATTTTAATCTCTTCAGTTCCGCAGTGCTCCCTGAGCATTTAATAATTATTTCTGCAATATTAAATACCCGGTGAAAGGCGTACTGTAATTAAACATTTCACAAAAACGCTCCTCGCCCGACACATGTTTTCAAATGTATAAAAATGTTACTTGCGGAGTTTAATTAATTAGTTTTCACATCGTGTTATTTGTAATTAGTTTTTAATGCGCCTCGAGAGGGAACAGTGTAGGGTTTGTCCATCGATGTATAATACTCTACTAGAGGAAGTTATTATACATTGTCATCGAAATTTGTGAATTGTTTTTCGTAGGCCTAAATTTAATTTTAGATGAACATCAATACATTAAAGTATTGACAAATATATTGTATGGTTAAATAATAGTCCTAAATTACCTGCCTGGCTCATTGGTACACAAAAATAACGGTGCTTGAAAATATTGTTTTAAATAGGAAAAATGAGGAGTAGGATAATCATGATTTTGACGTAGATTTAATTTAGGTGTGCAATTCAGGTAAAAGAAATAAACTAGTTTCTAAATTGCCCTTATTTAAAAAATAGGACAAACTGGAAATCTGACGAAAATTACCCAAAAGATAAATGCCCGATAAGCGGCTCTGTACAAAAACATGTCGGGATATTCGCATAAACATCGCGGATTATCCAGATTGTAGGGAGTCTGTCGACTCCACACAACGTATGAATTATTCAGAGAGCTTGTAAAAACATTTCGCTGATTGATATTCATGCCAAAGTGGCAGCCGCCGAGGCCGAATACATTATTTTGAGTGGGGTAAGGGGAGGTTTTTGAGCAGAAGCCCTTAATCCGTCCCCAATAATACTAGAGACCCCTACTCACCCCCCTCGGAGTCCTCCGTCGCTTAATTATTTCGGATTTGCATACCTACAGAAGACAGCTTTAATTGTTACGTCACTAATTAATTGTTTGATTGTTGTCTGCTTTGCATTGTTGTCAGATACATTGTTAGCATCCAATTGAAGGAGCCCATTTGGTTAATAGGATGCAGTGAATATCTATGGTTACTTTGAAGTGGTTTTTGGCGAGTCGATCGACGAGTTAAAGGATTTCCCGGTACTCGTTAAGCTTTTAGTGGGATTGATTAGATTATTTCAAGTGAATGGCGATTGATCGAAGGTTAGTGGATATGGGTCAGTTATAATAAGTTATTTTACATGTGTAATTTATTAATTTTTAAATTTTCCAAGGGCTACATTATTTGATATTTTGTTAAGAAAGAAAAATCGTAATACTGTAGACTGATTTAAAGTGACTGGCATTTATTATGTGATTTTGTGTAGATGACAATACATGATAATCATAAAACCACGAAAATGCTATACTATATAAATAAATAATAAAATTAGGCCTATATTGTAAACTATGGAAACAAAAAACAAACTAAATGACACATACTTTTCTGACCCATTTATAATGATTTCTTTTGTTGGAAAAATCTACTTGTGTGAAAACAAAATAAACCAATTTATCTTTTTCGATTATTTTTTTACATAAGGTAAAAAATTATAATATATAACTCTTATAGATTTTTCTGCAAGCCTACTGGAATAGCCTTGTCATAAATTCAGAACGTTAGGTTTGGTGAAGTAGTAATGCATTATAGTTCAAAATATTTCCGTAATCAGTAAGCTCTACACTAGTAGTAAGCATGAAGTGGATTGAATTCATAAAGAATCAAAATAAACTCAGAGCCTAGGCTAACTAAATATTTTTCCAAGTTAACACTAATTCAATCAGAAATATCAAAGTAATCAGTGCCGTCGACATGTGATTAAGGCCATTATCAAACAATATAAACCGATTTGGCATTAAATCCGTCCATTGCGTCACCAAACGTATCTCGTTCAATTAACAACCTCGCAAACTACGTTTTTATAAAAATCGTAAACAAAAATATCATCTTTGGATTGTTACAAAACAATTACGATTCCTATTTTGGTTTATTCAGACTATCGGAACTTATCACTAGTACGAATTAAATATTAATTCATCACATACAAACACCTCAACAACCGTCTTGACATGAATCACAATATTTACAACCTACTTTACACGTCAGTTCCGCAGCCTTCTTGATATCCTTCGTCGGGAGAGTTTCTCGACAGGACACGTTTGAGTGCCGTGACTGGAGGTAGCACTGGAACTCCTCTCTGCCACACTCGCAGCGTCTTCGCACTAGGATGTGGAGGGTTGGTAGGTGACACTCCAGGACTAGAGGTTGGTAGGATGGGAAGACCGTAGTCAGGAGGGTATCCTTCCAGAGCTCTGGAGTAGTCCTCCTCCACAGACATGCCGTCGATGATGGGAGTCTTGTCGTTGGAGTCGTACCCGAAGTTCGTACTCGTTGACCTCTGGAGCTCCCCAGGCGCCGCTTGGTCCCACAGGCCCGAGGGGTACAGGGACTCTCCCGCTCTCGCGTACTCCCCACTGGCAGGCCTCTGCTGAAGCGACGCTTCATCCAACTCGTAGTCCGGTCTTTTTGTATCGTTTATTAAGTCCGGGTTTGAAGCTGGATTGATGAACTGAGGGTTCACTATGCTTCCACCGTAAGATGACGTGAACGACATTTCACTCCGCGGAGGTTTTTGTATAGGATTCAAATTTAGTTCGGAAGGTGCAGTTTTCTTCTCGCCGAACCCCGCGTTGTCCATGGTCATTGGGGAAGTCGGCTTCGCGGAACAGCCCGCATTGCCGTTTGGAACTGATTCCATCTGATTTGGTGTTTTAGTGTCTACAACTGCTGTCCTTCTGAACCGCATTAATAGCACCAGAATAACTAAAAGGAAAACGAGGATTAAAATCACTAAAGCGGCGCTAACACCAACAATCTGTCCATTGTTAAGGGTGGCCATTCCTGCTATCCTAGGCCTCACGTGTAGAGTGTAGTTGGCTTCAACGTTGCCCGCTCTATTCTCTGCCAAACAGTTGAACTCCCCGGAATCCGCTTCTTGCGCGTTCGTTATTATTAACGTGCTTTTCTTCTCAAAGTCTCCACTCTCCACGATAACTACTCTTTGGAATGAACTGAAAGCGGAGTTATTGACCAGATGTCTTCCATTCCAGTACCAGTTTACGTGGGCGGCCGGGACAGACTCCACTTTGCACACAATGGTTGCGTTGTCACCTTTTGTTGCTTCGACGTATCTCGAATCCAACCGTATTTCAGGTTTGCAAGCAAAGTCTTCGATGTCGAGTTCGTTGAAAGAGCGTCCAAGAACTCTATCAGGTCCTCCGATGCAAGTAGGAGAAATTGGGTAGGGTATGTTTTTCTCAATCAGCCACATCTTAGCTTCTCGAAGGTTACAATCACAAACCCACGGGTTGTCGTGCATTTCAACCCCGTGAAGCCTACTCAACCTCTCGACAGTTTTCGGCCTAAGCTCTCGAAGTTTGTTTCCGTTAAGTCTTAAATTCTCCAACTGCTCTACCCCCTCAAAAGCCTTTGGGGCGATAAACTGTAGTTGACATTGTGATAAATCTAATTTGATAAGGTTGGGTACAGTTTGGAAAGCGAAGCCTTCGACTTTTTGGATAGGATTATGAGCTAAGGTCAGGTCTCTGAGGAAAGGAACATCGTTGAATGTGGAAGAAGGTATAGAGGTGAGCAAGTTGTCGGATAAGTCCAGCTCGACGAGATTTTTCAATCCACGAAGAGCCTCTGGATCTATCTGACCCAGCTTACAGCTACGAATATACAGTCTTTGTAGGTTAAGTAGGTTAATTCTCACAAATGTATCACGGGGTAATATCTGTAAGTTGTTTCCAGAAACGTCCAAAACCTGTGTCGCTGGTTCGATATTGTCGGGTATTGTAATGAGACTTCGGTCCAAGCACTCGACCGTCTGCTTACCTCCCTTCCATTTGCAAACACAGACATTCGGACATAGCTCTGAGGAGGCCGAGGTCGACAGGACAGCCACCAGGAGGGAGAGGAGGATCACCCGACACATCGTGAAGTGACGGAGGCTTAGGACGTGGCGTGATGAGCGACGATGCAGCATCGGGGAAAACACGCGATAAGGCATTGATCCTCCGTAACGAGGGAATAGACAGGTGGAAACCGGGCTATCGAAGTCGGCTAATTGGTGCGAAACCGGGAGAAATCTCTCCAAGAAGAAGCGCAGTCGGCGAGACGACCCACATTTACGGCTCGGCACTACTATCACTTACTTTCTCCACACACTGTTATCCACTTTTACTTTTATCAAAAAAATTCTTCATTCGATAAAATAAAAATAAAATAAATCTTTAGGCACAGGAAAAATAAACTCAGCAAAATATTCTGGGCTAAAATGGGTCACATTTGTACGTAATCGGCACCACACTGTTATCCATGGGTGACGAGACGGGTCCGACACAACTGGTCGAGGAAGCGCACCATCACACAACACTGATATTGATTGGGTATCCGACACAGACTGACGCGGGTTCTCACTCGTCAAAGTCTCGGCAACTACTGAGTTTTGAGGCGCTCTGGCGCTACAGAGCCCCCGGCGGCGGCGGCACCAACTACAACCCCCTCTCCTCGCTTCTCACTCTCCTCGCTTCAACAACGGTCGCCGATTTTTCACACCAAAGTGAGCCTCGCCGATCGATGCCGTCGACTGGATACAGCTGATAGATGTATTCTTGAATGGATCACCTCGTAATTGCCTTCTCGTTACTCCCCCCGACTTTGAGTTTCCCAAACATCCCCTCTCGGTCGACGTTGACGTCCCGTCACTGACTAAGTACTTTGTTGCCGTTTTTCCTCGAATCTGTAAGGAATTTTGCGTAGCAATTTCGCTTGATGAAAACACTAATGACTTCTTTTCGCCGGTGTTTTATCACGTTTTAACGAGCTCGCAGTAAAAACGGGTTGCTAATTAGTACGTGTCGAATAAATATTTAAACAATTTATAACACGGGCGTTGGATTTAATAACTCTGTCAAACCTTTACGTTTACATCCGTTACCTTCAATCAAAATGTGTTTGTCCTATCCTGATACTTAAAAATAACATAGGACGTTTTTAGGTATAGATTGTTATGCCTTATTGCACCGTACGTTAAATCATCGAGGGCGTTATAAAAACATTCATATTTTGTTACTGTGAATGTTTGAATATGTTTAATTTATATGAAGAGAAATGTCTTTAACCTCTGTACTTGACTTACTAAAAATCGTGCAAAATACGTTCATCTCTTAACAAAATAATTTTAGATATCACAAATTGGGGGGTTTGTAAATGCGCAAAATGTATATTCATTCATTGTTAACTGCTATTACTGTTCACTACGATACTTTTAATTTTTACATCACCTGTTTTATTTTCACTTAAGATCACAACTTTGTAACAACATAATACCACGAATTCTGGATCTAGCTTGCTCAGTCATTATCTGGGTAACCAAATGGCTATATTGTATTGTCTTGAAATCTGAAGGTCGCTGGTTCAATTTCAAATAATATCATTTCTAAACCCAAACTTAATTCTTCACCGAGTCATCAATTAATTAATGACGCTATCTAACAAAACGTTAGAACGTAACAAGGCCAGGGTTAGGACTGTCCCCTTACAAAATCTTTAACGTGCTAATAGCGCAGACACACAAATACAAATATACAAAAGTAACATCCAATACATTGCGATAAATAAGGAAATTTAAAATTACAAATTTGCAAACAACGACACAATTTATATTAAAAGACAAAACCAACTAAACTACATGTAATCAAATATAAATCGTTATAATTTTAGTAAAATAGCTTATCAAATAATTTATAACTAGTATTATTTCAACTACTATTGATCCTAAGTTTACTTTCAGCAAGGTTGGGTAAAGGCCGGGCCGTTTCGTGCAGCACCCTAGAGATGTATTTTAGCCCAACAACTTACCCAACATCCATCGATCTGTCAAGAAACTCGCCTATCTCCTGACCACATACTTGCCTGACGGTAGAGAATTGTTTGGCATAACTTCGGCATTCCAAAATATGGTGGATGTTTTGGGAACTGAAATATTCCACCGTTTATTAGGATATTTTTTTAGATTTTTTTCTTTACTCAGTAACCAATATTTGGAAATATTTTTTAAAGCTTCTACCTACCGTGATTTTATAGTCATAGTTTTCCTAGCAAACATCCTTTCATGTAACATTAAGGTTAGATATACACATACCTTCAAACTGGGCAACAGTTAAGAAATTGTCTTTAAATATAAATTTAAGCTGTATCTCTTATTTATAAATTTGTCTTTAGTACTAAATGACTTTCGTACTTAGATTCGTATAATTAGTACAGTAAACCTATTTAATACTTAGTACGGAATATTTTTGTTTATACAAACTACTATAATTTTTAATATTCCGACAGTAATAATTTGGTATCAATGATATCTTAATTGTTTTTTGGTAAGGGATGATTTTCCAAAAAGAAGTAGTTTAAAATTAAAATATGTAAATCCGTCAGCAACCTTTAAACGTTTTTCTTAAGTGCTTTCTCAAAAATAATTGTATCCATTCTAAAGTGTAATAAAATACACAGATACAAGTGATGAAATGCATGATTAGTAGACAATACATCCAACTTGAATATAAAATCGTTCTGCATACAAACTAGCAGATATTAAGATGCAATGCATTTGCAATTCATGACTTATACATAAGCGTTATATTTGTGTATATGTATGACTTAATTGGCAGAGTTTCAACTTTGTACGCATGTTTTGTGGTTTCTAACACTGTATTTGCATTTAAATTACCATCCATTTATTAAGAGTGTAAAGCTAAATTAGAAATATAAAAAAATCTATATTTTTTTAATAATGTGTAATTATGCTAGTTTGTATGAACTGTTTTCATGGAATTACACCACTTTAGTACAATTAATATGCTAATTTAGGATTATATTCAAATATTCTGGTTACAATTGGTAATTAAACATGCAGCGGTAACTATTTTCAATCCATGGGAAATTTCCCAGAATTAATTATGAAACTTTTTTTAGTTGCTTAAAGAGTATACAGGGTGATTGATATAAATGTGCAAGCAGTTTTATTCGAAAACTGAAAGAGATATCAAAAAAAGTTAAACGGTAAGTGCCTTGGATTTTTTATTAAAAAAAAATTTAGTTAGTCAAAAAAATATATTAGCCGCCATTAAGTTTAAGTTGTGATTTGGTGGTTAAAATTGTGAAATTTAGAATAGTTTTCGAATAAAACAGCTGGCATGCATGCTTAGGCCTTTATGGAAACTCTTTCTCATGCCGAAATTTCAAAACTTTAAGCCATTATTATCTTTAAAACGGTTAGGTTTATGAAAACAAACACAAAAGTAATATTTTCTTAAAATTAAATTTTTTACCGGAATACATCATAAAAGTGCTCCATAAGAAAAATCAAAGTTGGCGGCCATATTGGAAAAATGACGGCAAAAATATTTTTTTCGACTTGACTAATATTTTTTAAATAAAAAATCCAATGCACTTACCATTTAAATTTTGTTTATATCTCTTATAGTTTTCGAATAAACTGATGGCACACTTATATCAACCACCCTGTAAATTATGTTTTTTCCAAGCTTCGATCTGTTATCTGCAAAAGTTTTGATGAAAAGACTGTACCCAGAATTCTTTTGGCTTTGTATAGTTGTGTTTATATATAATAATAGAAATACCCCTGTTTTCTTTTTGTTTAGTTTGTTTAGAAAAAAAAAACAAACTTAGTGTAGTAAACTTCAGTTTACCTTTTGAAGCTCGTTTACACTTAACAAAACTATGAAAAAATCAGTCATAGTTTGTTTTGTTTCGTTAAATGGGGCAATATTATAGCAATATTAAATAGGAAGAGGTTATTTATTTTCCTATTTATTTTACATTATAGTTATATACATATTTAGTTTCTTTTTAAAAAGTATATAAAGAAGGTTTAATTTAGGGTAAGTTTTAAAATTAAGTGCCAACTGAACAGACGGTTATTTAACCATTGTGTCATAAAGTGTAATTTTTGACTTGTGAATGTATATAACAATATGTTGTAAATAACGCACTTATTCATTTCATTTCATTTCATATAATAATTTTAACACCAATAATTACTTACTAAAAAGTTAAAAAAAAACATTACTTTTATTCATAGAATTAAATGTAAGATTGTTTTTATTCTTATGCAACGGCACTTACTTTTTTAAATAATAATTATACAGGGTGACAAAAAAGTCTGGAAACGGTTTAATATCTTTTTAAATAAATCCGTTAGAAAATTCAAACCTTTCACATCAACTTACATGTATGAAAACTACTTTTTCCAAGCATTATCATTTTTTTACCTCTACCAGGGGACGACCCATGAGGAGTAGGTACATAATCTTTAATGTAAGCATAGGTTGATATGCACATCATTTTAAAGGTCTGGTCAAGTGGAGTTCATTGCCGGAAACCGCGTCAAAAAAGGTTCATCCGTTACAAAATGGCGGCTGTCCAAAGTTCTTGTGGAATATACCCGCACAGGCCTTAGTATTG